CTGTAACTTTTGAAGTAGTAGCCCAATCTTGGAACTGTTTGAAATTATGGATTCTACAGGCCACATTCTATAAGAAAATTTTTTTTCCGGGTCGATCTGAGACAATTTTTTTTTTCGGGGCTCAAAAAAAGGCAGTGTATAACCTTCCTTTTTTACCAAAAATCGACTACACCAAAATTTCTCGGGAAAACACTTTTCCTTATTAATTTTGGTGCGTAGAATCCAAAACAATTCGTACTTTTTCGATTAGACTTCTCAATCAAAAGTTATAGACTAGAAACCAATTTCGAAAGAAAATTCAAAGGGCTGTACTTTTGAACTAGTAGCCCAATCTTGGAACTGTTTGAAATTATGGATTCTACAGGCCACATTCTATAAGAAAATTTTTTTCCGGGTCGATCTGAGACATTTTTTTTTAGGGGCTCAAAAAAAGGCAGTGTATAACCTTCCTTTTTTACCAAAAATCGACTACACCAAAATTTCTCGGGAAAACACTTTTTCTTATTAATTTGGTTGCGTAGAATCCAAATCAATTCGTACTTTTTCGATCAGACTTCTCAATCAAAAGTTATAGACTAGAAACCAATTTCGAAAAAAAATTCAAAGGGCTGTAACTTTTGAACTAGTTGCCCAATCTTGGAACTGTTTGAAATTATGGATTCTACAGGCCACATTCTATAAGAAAATTTTTTTTCCGGGTCGATCTGAGACCATTTTTTTTTCGGGCCTCAAAAAAAGGCAGTGTATAACCTTCCTTTTTTACCAAAAATCGACTGCACCAAAATTTCTCGGGAAAACACTTTTTCTTATTAATTTTGGTGCATAGAATCCAAAACAATTCGTACTTTTTCGATCAGACTTCTCAATCAAAAGTTATGGACTAGAAACCAATTTCGAAAGAAAATTCAAAGGGCTGTAACTTTTGAACTAGTAGTCCAATCTTGGAATTGTTTGAAATTATGGATTCTACAGGCCACATTCTATAAGAAAATTTTTTTTCCGGGTCGATCTGAGACAATTTTTTTTTCGGGGCTCAAAAAAAAGGCAGTGTATAACCTTCCTTTTTTACCAAAAATCGACTACACCAAAATTTCTCGGGAAAACACTTTTTCTTATTAATTTGGGTGCGTAGAATCCAAATCAATTCGTACTTTTTCGATCACACTTCTCAATCAAAAGTTATAGACTAGAAACCAATTTCGAAAAAAAATTCAAAGGGCTGTAACTTTTGAACTAGTAGTCCAATCTTGGAGCTGTTTGAAATTATGGATTATACAGGCCACATTCTATAAGAAATTTTTTTTCCGGGTCGATCTGAGACATTTTTTTTTCGGGGCTCAAAAAAAGGCAATGTATAACCTTCCTTCTTTACCAAAAATCGACTACACCAAAATTTCTCGGGAAAACACCTTTTCTTATTAATTTTGGTGCGTATCATCCAAATCAATTCGTACTTTTTCGATCAGACTTCTCAATCAAAAGTTATAGACTAGAAAACCAATTTCGAAAAAAAATTCAAAGGGCTGTAACTTTTGAACTAGTAGCCCAATCTTGGAACTGTTTGAAATTATTTATGGATTCTACAGGCCACATTCTATAAGAACATTTTTTTCCGGGTCGATCTGAGACAATTTTTTTTTTCGGGGCTCAAAAAAAGGCAGTGTATCTAACGCGTGACAGAGTGGAAATAAAGAAATGTTTTGAAGATGAGAAAATTGAGAAAAAGTTAAAAAACAGAATCAAGGAGCTATATCGAGATCCAAAGGGGAAGAAGAAGTCTACGGTCCCTGGCATACGCGGGTTGTGGCGATAAGACAGGTGTGAATTGGAGAGAAGGCGCTAAAATTCTAGGAATGGGGCGATAGAGAAAACTAATGGGTTGAAGGATGCTTGACAACAAGGATGAAGGCAAAAGAAATGTGGGAAGAGCAAAGAGGAAAATATTAGCTGAAGTCAAAAGGAGGATGGGAGTAGGACAAGAGATAGAAAATGGGTTGGAAAAAAGGATCTGGATGCACAATACAACAACAGCACGTCTGCTCTCCTACAAACCCAATGTTTTAGAGGTGATGGTTCCTGTAAGGGCACCGTAGGCTACTATTCAGTTTAAGAAGCTTAGGAGACCCATATTTGCTAAGGGGCTTTGATAAAAGGCCCTGAACTGTTTAAGTCCGGTTATATGTTGGCACTAGGTCTGAAATTGACTGTTCACCCAGTCTTTAATCTTGGTCCTGATAACGAAGGGAGGAATTGTAGGGTAGACTCGGGCCCATACGACCTACGACCTTGTCCGTCACTTTCCTCCTCCCCTAGCGATGCCGATCGTTCTGACCCCAATAACCGCCACACGAGTTAAAGTGCAGTAATCCCGACGCCTCTTCGAGGTCGATAACGCGGGATTGAGCCCTTTCCGTCGCAACGCTGCTTCGGTGGAGCCCTCTCTCTTACCTGGCGATTTCGTCGCAAGAGTGACGCGCGAGACCCCCGCGTGTGCCTAAAAGTTCTGCATGATCGACATCATTTACGAGGAGGGCCCTACCAGGCTCCTCCCTGCGGAAGAACGTCCTTCATTTGCTCGTCCTGAAACCAGGATTTTGCCTCTGGAGGCACTTCAAGATGGTGGCCGTGTTATCCGGGAGCCCGTATAACATAGCCATCACCAAGGTTACCCTAGGGACGGGCCTCTGAACTTTCAGAGATGCGCCATCCCGGGACCTATGAAAAGAGACAGTCCTCTCCAACCAGTCCAAGGTCCAATGGTCCTTGTTGCAACAATTTCAATGGCGGTTTTCTCAAATTAAGGGTTTAAAGTTGAATTTCTTTGCGGTTCTCTGGTTTTGGGGGGTCGAATATTGTACTTTATAGAGAGTGGTTTCATTATAGGGCAGGTTTCCCCAAAATTTTGTTGATCTATTGTTTTTTTAAGTTAAAAGTTTCTCAAGAAATTTGCTAGCTCTATCGTTTTTAAGGCTGTGGTTACGGGATACGGCACTGGCTAATTAATTGGGAAAGCTGGTTATTTTTTATCGACGATTAATCTATAACTTCCTATTTCGTTCGATTTTCGTTCGAAAATTTCCCCCGTCCTCCCAACCACCTTTCGTTGCAGTTGCCTTACTGTCCAGGTCAACAGATTTCTATACTGGCTTTATACGACTTCAGCTTTCCTTATGTCAAGGTGCGTATTTGTTGATAATGTATTAAAATGCTGCTAAGTTCAGAGTTCATCAACCTAGAAGGCTCTGAAGTAGCAGAAAACCGAGGGCTTAAAGTAAATGCCTGAAGGATCGAAATTTATTGTCACACCTTATCAACATTCAACCAAATGTCCCCAATCGCCGATAAAACAAAGTTGCTGGGATCCATTGCGAAAGGTACCCGCGTCATTTCGTTAACCGAAAATCGAAACTTGTCCAACAACAGCGCTAGACCAATCCCGGTCTGCATGAGCCCGAAGCGTAACCCTAAAAACATGACGTTTAGTTCTGATTCTCGCCGCGAGTAGCGTGTTACCGATGCAAAGTCGGGGACCTTCGCCGAATGGCATGTAACTGTAGGGTACCATCTTCTTCTTATTCTCCTCATTAAACCTTTCCGGATCGAAACGCTCCGGGTCCGGGAAATACTCGGGGTCGTGGTGAAGACCGTAGAGGGGTATGACTACGCTTGTGCCCTTTTCAATGAGAAAATCGGTTCCGGGGACTTTGTAGTCCATTACGCATTTTCGGTTCAGCATCGGTAGAGGGGGATACTTGCGTAAGGTCTCTGAAAGTTTACAGTTAATAGGCAACATGCCAGTTGAGGGACTCACCATCGATCACTTGCTTCATATACTTCATCTCCCTAATCGCCTCGTAGCTAATTTCGCCCTTGTGCGACGCCATAACTGAACGAATTTCTTCCCGCACCTTGTCTTGAATGTCTTGGTCGTTGGCCAACTCGTACAGGCAGAAGGTCATAGTCGTGGAGGAGGTTTCTAGTCCTGCGATGAAGAAAAGGAAAGCCTGCGCGGTTAACTCTTCCAGCGTCAGGGGGTCGTCACTGTTGTTCTTCAGGTCTAAGAGAATTTGCAAGAAGTCGTCACGATTTGTCTTGTTACTTTCTCTGTATTCTACTACTTGTTTCATGAGGTTCGAGAAGAACGTTGAGACGGTTTGAGGTGTAAAACACACTCCAAGTTTGCGCGCGAGGTTTGGGTTGGCAAAGGAGAAGAACGCCGTCAGATTCTCCCACTTTGTCCGTACGAAGGCTCTTTTTGCGAACCGACGAAAGTCGGAGTTTGGGTCCTCGAAACCATTGCAGTCGATACCAAACGCGCATGATCCAATCACGTTGGTACCAAAACGGCTCAGCAGATCCTTGATATCCACAGGCACGTGTCGGTTGTGATTCTGTTCCATGGCCTCCGTCAACTGCTTGCCGCAGGTTAAAACGATGCGAAACATCATCTTCATCTTGCCCGAGGTGAAAGTTGGCGTGAGTTTCGCCCTCAGCTTCCGCCACTTCGCTCCCTCCAAAAAGAACAGGTGGGCGCTCAGAGGGTCGTCCTTCTCGTTGAAGTAGAAACCACGATCGACGAAGTAATTGAAATCCTTGGCCATGACGTCCTTGATCAAATCCATGGTGATCGGCATGAAAGCCGGGATCCAGAGCGTGTAGAGACCCACGTAGTCGCGTCCCATCCGTTTTGATTCCTCGTACTGAAGCCGCATTAGCTCACCGAAGGAGTGCGTCGGCCAGAACGGATTCAACATGGAACCGAACGGAATCGATGGTTTCACGTAGGGCACCCCTCTGACCTCCCAGTACCTGTACCTCCATTTAAAGAAGACGATCACGCTCAACACACAAGTCGCCAATATCACGGTGATATCCGTGCACCAGCAGCTCGAAATCACGGACATTTCTGAGTCTGAAAGGAACTGCACGATATAGAGATAAAACGACTATAAGTGGTTTGATTAAATGCTAGAGTAATTATGACGAATCAAATTGATAAGCCTTCCAACAGAGTGATTCATTGCAATATTTCCTCATTAATCTCTCCAGAACTCAAAGTCTCCTTTTTCATTGTATCAGCGCCCCACGCCTCCACCAGGAGTCGAAAAACGGCAGGGTGTACAAGAAGAACAAGGAAAGACCAGAAGCAGGGCTGCAGAGGGGAATAAAATAGAAAAAAAGTGTATTGCAAGAATAGAGAGCAGAATGAAACCAAAAGAATAAGAGAAAAAAGATAAAGGATAGATGAGAAGGTCACGAGTAATGTAAAAGGTAAAAAAAAGGGAAGGAGAAGGAAACCATAAGTGGGCCAGAATCAGAATTAGCAGGAAAGTAGACGAAAAAAATAATAATGGCAAGAGTAGAGTACATAAAAGTAGTGAACAGGGGAAAGTCAGAGATGAGAGGAAAACGAACAAATAGCAGAACAGGATAAAGCAAGCGGTAGGAAAGGCAAGAGAAGGTTATTTATAAGGAGAACAAGAAGTGACTGATGCGTAACATAAATTTAAAAAAGTGCAGAAATGTTATGAGAACAAAAGAAAGAGTAGAAAGGGAGCAGGAGAACAAAGATCGGAAACAAACTAAAAACAAGTATAAATTGTACACACCCCTTGTGCAGATAAAGTGCATTTTTTTACCGAAATCGCTTTTGTTTTACATCACATATTTCTTGCAGACGTCTCAATCGCCCTATGTGAGTACCCTCTTCCGACAATCCGTTCTTGAGGTATAAGGAAATATACCCGATTACGATAAGAGGTCGAGAAGGAGGGCTATGGTTGGTAGAAATTAATTCCTTTCGTTGAGACCTTTCATTAGAGTACCATGAAGGATAAAACTAGTTCCACGCCCCCCTCCCTCTCCACCCCGTTTGATAAGGGGACAAAAAGATGGGCAGTAGTTGGTAGAAAACGGTTCCTTTCGTTCAAACCTCTAATTAGAATACAATGAGAGATAACATTAATCCCCCCCGGTCCCCGTCGCTTACTAATCTCAAAAAAGAGTCGCACGGGAAAGTAGTTATACTTTGTGCAAACCAATTTCGATGAGACCTTTCATTAGAATACCATGAAGGGTAGAACATGTGTTAATCCCCCCCCCTCCCCCCCATTTTGTAGAGTTTAACTTGGCATGCGTATGCAAAATCTGAGACAAATTGGTTGTGGTATGTAAAAGGTATGCACGTTTTACTTTCAAAAACAGCATCTCAGAAAATAATTCGTGGGGGGGGGGCAATTAGACAGCGAAATTTTTGATGGCCGTCGGGCACACCTTCAAGGTATAGGCTACCTACTGCAAACAATTCCAGGACTCTAGGACTATTCCCCTAGAAGTAGTTCCAAACGGTAGACGTGGGCCCGGACGGACGGACGGACAAAACGCAAACAATAGCACATTTGTTTAATTTTTAAACAAATGCGCTAAACAGCCAAAAGGAGAAGGAGAATGATGCCGAAGTCAGAAAAACAGAAACAGAAAAACTTATACAAGAGTATAACAGGAGCAGGTGTAGGAGTAACGTACAGAACGGGTATAGTCCAATGCAGAAAAAAAAGTATGAAAAGAAAAGAAATAAAACAAGAAAATATCCAAAGGGCAGAATAAATGCTGAAGTAAATCATTATGGGAAGAGAGCAGCTCAAAGGGATAATAGGAGAGAAGCGAAGGAGAGCAGATGAAACTAGACTTAGACTAGAAAGAGGGTAGAGGGTAAGCGGAAGAGAAGCATGGTCAGTGCGGAATGAACCCAGAAGGGGAGGAAGATCATAAATAATGCAAAATAATAATAGCAAGAGAAACACGTAACTGGAACAGAAGAAGAGCAGAATGGAACCAAGAAGAGCATTAGAAAGAAAGCCAAGGAAAAGAAGCGGAATACTATCAGAAGAACGAGAGGAAGAAAGAGAATAGTTAGATAAAGAAGGAAATAGTCCAACAAGAGCAAGTCAGAGTAATGTAGGAAAAACACGGAAAATAAGTAGACTCGCTCTACTAAAAGGCAACCAAAAAACCAAGTAGAATAATAGTAGAACGCAATGTGGGAGAGAAAGAGGCGATAAAATCTACGTAACCTAGGAGCATGAGGTGGGGAATGATTTTTGAAATGACAAAGGAGCCTAACCGAGTCAGGCAGCTAAGTCAAGGAAACTCAAAGAAGCACATCAGTCCAGTAGATGACCAATGCATGTTCTGGACCAGGAAGTAACGCCACACCAATAAGAAACGAGGTCGTGACGTCACAGTCAATCAAAGGCTAGTACGTCCGCCTACGCCCCTCCCTTTCAGGTTCGTAAGGCTTTTTCCAACAGGTTAGTGAAGCGGTCCAATAGCTTTTCCACCCGGTTCAACAGCTATGTGGACTGGTACCGGTTCTAAAATATGTTGGACCGCTTCACCAACCTGTTGGAAAAAGCCTTACAAACCTGAAAGGAAGGACGTACTCGTCTTTGATTGGCTGTGACGTCACGATCTCGTTTCTGATTGGTGTGACGTCACTTCCTGGTCAAGAACATACATTGGTCATCTACTCAGTCCAATAGCACTGGGAAGAATAAGTCGAAGAACGTGATGGATTCGATTAAACTGCAGCAGTAGAAGCTGAAGGTGTATGTGAAAGCGCTTTCGGGACTCTGATACCAATTTGTGAGGGAAATTCACGGAATATTTCTTTCCTGGAGTGTACATACCTGGGGAGGAGGGGGGGGGGGGATTCCATACAACCCACACTCCTCAGTGCTATACTTTCCAAAAAATGTTTAAGCCTTCAACACTTTTGTAATCATTTTTTAGGAATAGTCCGCCTGAACGTTTATTCCGTTACTCCCACCCCCACCCCCCGGTCTTAGGACTTTCCCCAAGTTGTTGAGCCTTCAGCACTCTTGTGGACATTTTTCTGAGAGAGTTAACGGTAATTCTTTTTCTGTAAAGTATTCCATGTCTCCCATTTGCTGTGTTGTCCCCCAAGACGTTTATTCCATACCCCTCCCCTCCCGCGTTAAGCCTTCCCCCAAAATTGTTACGCTTTCAGCACCCTTGTGGTCATTTTTCTGGGAGGGCTCACGGCTAGGCTAACGGTCATTCTTGTCCTGAAAGGTATTCCATGTCTTCCAAATTTTCCTATGGAATACCCCCCCCCCCAGGTAAATACATCCTTGGAAAGAAATATTCTGTGAATTTCCCTCCCGAATTGTCATTGTTCCCAAAGCTCGTTTTCCTTGGAATGTGTATACCTGTGGCTCCCACACCGCCCGGTGCTATGCTCCCCTCCAGAATTGTTAAGCCTTCAACACATTTTTAGGGAGGACTATCGACCTTTCTTTGCCTAAAGGTATTCAATGCCTCCCAAAGTCCGTTTTGCTGTGTTGTCCCCCAAAACTTTTAGAAAAATAATAAAGAATTGTTGGGCCTCCTTGAAATATGATCCCCGAGGTAAATACATTCCAGAAAAAAGGCGAATCTTCCTCCCAAATTGTCATTAAGGGTTCCAAAAGCCCCCTCTTTCCTAGAATGTATACCTGTGGCTGGGTATTCCCCTGAAAAATATTACAATAGTGCTGGAGACATTCCATACCCCTCAGGCCCCTTGTGTTAAACTGTGTTAAGCCTTTTCTGGGAGGGCTATCGATCATTCTTTGGGAGCAGGAGAAAACATTCGAAGAGGAGAAATGTAGGAGAAGAGCGGAACAAGACCATGGGATAAAGAAGGTCAATTGACACTAAGAAAGAAATGCAGAGCGAAAGAACGGCAGCGGAAAGTCACAAAAATTTAGAAAGAGCGCAGAAGCAAAGGTAAGGCGTACAGAACAAAAGCAGGATAATGCTGATGCAGAAGAGAAAGAGCGCGGATGCGCGGGGGGATAGAGAAGAGCGCAATAAAACCAAGAGAAGGCTATGGAGGAGTAAGAGCTGGAAGTTACCAAAGGAACGCAATTAATGAAGCGGTAAGAGAAGAAAAAGTGGAAGAAGAGCAAAAAGAGATCAACGGACAGTGAGGACAGGATAAATTCAGAAGAATAGAAAGAGAAGCAGAGAAAAAACAAATGAAGAGTCGGAGGGTGATATCGGGAAATCGGGAAAATATAACAAAGAATGAAGCAAAAAAGCAGAAAAGAGGAAAGGTCTCGGGAAAAGTAGACGGAGGCCAGAAGGAGCTGACGATGACCAAACGAAATGCGGGAAAAATCAAGAAGGTCGGAAAGATAGTAGGATATTAAAAGCAAACCGGATTCAAAGAAGAAATTGGGATCAGGGGATCAGAATCAAAAGATCAGGGCAACAGAAGCAAGTATTCAGAAGAGCGCAGGAGAATAGCTATATCTAAAACTTGTTTAGTATTACCAAGAAATTTAAATGGTATCAAGATTTAAATGAGCCTTCTGTTTGAATATGTGCTCCTGATCCAGGATCACAGAAGGTTTAAAATAGGTACCCTTTAATTTATTATAGACACAAATCGTATCAGGATCACAGACACATATCTAACATTTATTCAAGGAAACAATCCTGCTTAGCATGCTCTCCTGGTACAAATTCTTCTCCTCTCAGAGGGGTTACACAATGCACATGAATAATAGAAACGCAACCTGTAAAATGCTTTTTAAGATTTTTTGATACAAAGTGATCGGATTAGGGTAACAGAATTTCCACAACAGTTACAAGTTGCGTCTCCCTATTAAATAGTGAATAAGTATACGCACCCACGTTACCACGAAGTACGATAAAACACAGTCAGCACTTTCTCACAACGCACCGTTCACTAGAATGGATCATTTCGGTTTTCCGATGAAACTCTAAAGTCTAAAGCATTGTAATCTGGTGCAATCTTGTTTAACAAGTAAATAGTAAGTCAGTAATTCCCACCAGTGTGTTTGTTCTCCGGGTCGACCTCGATTTTCATTTTTTTTATGATGCTATTGGGTAAACAATATTTAATTGGATGTAGCTCGTGAAGTTTGGCCATCTCTTACTTTTAATTATGGAGTAGGTAGTCGACCTTTACACCGGATAACCAGTTTTCACTCTGAGAATACAATACGTGTGAAGCATTAGACTTTTCACCTCGTCTGTCGTCCTGATAGATCAAGGAAAAGCATGCGTATCAAGTGTGTGCCAAGAACAATTGGTTCGTATCAGGATCACATAGTGATCAATTGTGCACCTTCGTGTTCCGTCCTGGTACAGTAACAAGAGAGATATTTTTGTTGTGAGAACAACAGATTTTATTGTTCTGTTACCTTTGTAACCACAATTCTTAAAAGAAGCATTTGTATCAGGATCACATAATGTATGAAAAGACTGTTCACCATCATGTTCTGATGCAGAATTGTTTGAGATACAGATTTGCATCAGGATCGCATAATAATTTGGAAAGCGTATACCAATTTTGTCGCCCTTCTGCAGTCCTGATACAGCAATTTTTAAAGTCAAATTTGTTACCCTGATACAGCAGCTATATAAACATTGGTATCAGGACCACATAATGCATTGAAAGCCGTATTTCAGAAGTTGTACACCTTAATGCTCTTCTGCTGTCTTGATACGGTAATAAAAATTAGTGAGACACAACAGAACACAATAGGTTGGTTTGTTCTACACATTGCACACTTTTTGTTATCCGGTATAACAATCAAGAAACATTTAATGCATTAAAGGGCGTGTGTCAGAAAATGTTATGCTCCCCTATATTCTTGACACAGTAATTTTTAAGAGAGAAGTTTGTATCAGGAAACCATAGCACTTGAGGAACTGCATGAGGATAATTTCACACATTGTTGCCTTTCTGCAGCTTTATCAGGATCACAGAATGCACTTGCATGCTTCTATTTGGTCCTGGAACAATAACTTCTTTAAGAGAGAATTGTATCAGAAAAACATAACTGTTTGAAATTGTGTCTATGTAATTTTCAGCTTCTTACCTTTCTGTAACTACATACGTGTGAAGTTTTACTGGAATACATTTTAGATCCTTCTATTCGCCTGTCACCGTTATACTTTAGCTTTTAAAACGATCCATTGTACCAGGATCGCATACTAAATTACATTACACAGTAATTTTCAAAAGATAAATTTGTATCAGAAAACTTCAGCATGTTGATCAGGAATAGACACATGTGACCCTGATACAATTAGCTAACGAGGCGCGTTTAATTGAATGTACCCCGTGAAGTTTGGTCATCTCTTATTGCCAGGAGAGTCACGTGTGTCAGGTGTGTGCCAAGAACGATTACACGTGAGATGAGGGCGTATAGCAATTGTTAAAAGAATTATTCGTATCAGGATCACATCACAATACATTTGATACCTTTCTATTCTTCTGTTGCCCTGGTACCACCATTTTTAAAAGAAACATTTGTACCTACAAGGATCACATAATGCATGAAAATTCTGAAATCGTATACCAATTTTGTTGCCCCTCTGCAGTCCTGATACAGTAATTTAAGTGACAAATTTGTATCAAGAATGGATAATATTTCCAAAATATACTAGACCTTCTTGCGTTTCTGAAACCTTGACATATCGTGTTACCCTGACACAACAGTTGTTAAAATAATCATTCCTATCAGGCTCTTATAATGCACTGAAAGCCGTATGTCAAAAATTCTTCACCTTCACGCTCCTCTGCGGTCTTGATACGACAATAAAAAGTTAGAAAGACATTTTTATTGCGAGAACACATCAAGTGTGAAGTTCATTTGTTCATTACACTTTACACTTCTGTTATCCGGTCCAACAATATTTAAAGGGAGCATTTGTGTTACTTGTTGCGTTTCTGTAGCTAACTGTGTGGCGGGAGAAATATTATGTATGTGAAATGGGTGGATTTGAAAATAAATTCTACAGCTTCGCTTGTTTCTGTCATCCTGATACAACTGCGACATTTGCATTATGAGAATATAATGCATGTGATGGTTTGGTGTAAAAAAGTTTACACCATTCTAATCGTCTGTCGCCCTGATGCAACACTTTGTATCAGGAGTACATAATGCTTTGAAAAACGTATGGTAAACATGATACATGACAAATTCTTTGTATGTAAATTAACACGTTCTTCCGTTGCAGTAACCCTGACATGAAACCGTTTGTCAATACATTGTTGCATTTCTGTGAACCTGATACAATTTAAACAGACATTAACGACATGATAATGATACGCGTGAAGGTTTACTGCAATAAAGTTCACACCCTTTCACTTCTCTGCCACCATTACACTACAATATTGTTAAAAGAAATATGTGTACCAGGATCACATAATGCACCGAATTTTCTCTTCTATCCAGTCCTGGTACATTAAATTTTTGGTTTTTGGAGTTTGACACCTGCGACCCTGATACAAACGAGGCGCTATTTTACTCGTTTTTCACCCTGATAAAACAATCTTAAGAGAACCATTCGTATCAGGATTGCATAACGAATTGAAAGGCGTTTGCCAATCACTTTCGTGCTCTTCTGTAGTCTTGATATAGAAATGTTCAAAACAGAAAATGAGAAATTGTAATTTTACCTCCTCTTACGTTTCTGTAACCCTAACAACATGTGTTTATCTCCAAAAAGTGATATAGCGGAAGTTAGTAGAAACAGTTGCAGTGCTTTCTGTGATCCTGATACAATTAAATTAAAACGTAACACATGTGCAATAGTGCATTCTACACGTTTGTCACCCTCGTGTTCCTCTGTAGTCCTGATACAGTGAAATCATTAAAGGATTAAATTAAAATACGGCGCTTGAAATACAATAAAATAACCCACTTTTACAATACCTCCCTAGAAGTCGTCTTGATTCAGGATTCCCCTAGGTCAAGACTTGCATTCGCGGTATATGAAGTTTACAGAATATGACAATGGCCTTACTGTCCAGATTGAACAGATTTCCTGGCTTTATATGTGGTCTTCAGCTTTGTATTAAAATACTACTGAATTTAGCGTTCATTAACAGTTCTAAATCTAGATCTATTAAATATCCGTATACCAATAGGGCTCCACACTAGAGAGTTATTGGAAAGGAAGGGTGGGACAGGGAACAATTGAAAGTACAGCGCAAAATGATCATTTGCCAATTCTTTTAAACTTTATTTTCGTAAAAAGGGCGGGGGTCACTCACTTAATCAATAGTATAAGATTAGAACGAAATTTCCTTAGAAATCCAGTTGTGCCGAATCGTAATTTTGGGCAATGCATTTTCGTAAACTAAACGCATTCAGCGGTTCCAGTTTGCTACCCTCGCAGTAGTTGACCGAGTTGAGGAACCGTTGCCGCATGGCTTTCGTCAGGTGCGGCATGTCATCGCACTTTCTGGAAATTCTCCACGGCAAGTGATTCGACTTTTTGACATTGTCAAAAAGTATGTCTCCATTTTCGTTCATCCACTCCCACCCTTTCCATACGCAGTCTAGGTATTTTGCAAAGTTCGCATCCTCCACGTGATTTACGTAGTGCTCAAGCACCGAGTTCGCGTCTAGGCCGAATTCATTTGCGCAAGCTTGCTCAGATGTGTCCAAGACGTTAACGCAAGTAGAGTTCACCTATCGAAAGTACGGATGTCTATTAGACGCCTCGGTTTGTTACTCACCTACAGTGAAAAGTACCCCCAAGAGGGTAACTAAAAACAGCGGCATTCGGAACATTTTCTCACTACAAACAGCTAACTGATTATGTTCAACTTTGGCGCATTATCTCCTAATTGAGCACAGGTCGTAGGTCACTACGTTGTCAAAATAAGCGTCAGATGACGATATCCTCGAATCAAGAAGATAAAAATGTTTGTTTTAAGAATTACATATCAGTAGGTACCACAGAGGAGCACTACAATAAAAAAAAATCTTGTAATATGCATTTAAACGTGTTATGTGATCCTGATACATTCTCTTAAACCATTGTATCAGATTCCCAGACGAGTAGAAAAATATTCCCCAAGCTTGTACGCCTGTTACGAACTCATAACACAAAGAAGTAATAAAATAGCCTACAAATTTCTTCTGTAAGATTACGGTATCAGGAGTACAGAGGAGCATACACATTTTAATGCATTATGTCATCTTAATACAAACGGTTCTCTTAAAAATTGTTAGTTTACTTCAACTTCACGCTTATTGCTATGTCTCTTTAATTCCGTGTATCAGTATCACAGAAACATAGGAAGTTGAGACACTTATTGCCGAATGTCCCCATCGCACATTTTAAGATTAATATCAAGTGGCGACAGAAAGGCGAGAAGCTGTAAATTTTTATTCGTATACAATATCTGAAGTATTATGGTCTCCTGATACAAAAGTGTCTTTTCAAAACTGTTGACAGACGAGTAGAAAGGTGTAAAACGTTCTTACACTACAGTTTGACAGGCAATTACGTTCCCATAATACGAATTTCTCGTTAATTATTCGGATCAGGGCCACAGAAACACAAAAGTTGTGATATTTATTGGCAAAAGTGGGACCACAGAGACAACACAAGTTTATATAGTGTCAAACGACCTCTTCTCGCTATAATTTTCCAACTGTTATGTCAGGGTTACAGAACCAAAAACATACATTCAATTTCTCAAGTGTTATGGTTTCCTATTACAGATTCTTCTTTTACAAATTACCGTATCAGGGCTACAGAGGAGCATGAAAGTAAAAACATCTTTGCATACTCCTTTTCATCTATGTTGCGTCCCTAATAGGATGACAAACGAAGAAAGGGTCTACCCTGATACTCCCCTGTAATCCTGATACAGAAAATTGCACCAGGTGAATGGAAGACTTGTATGCAATTTTACACGTTGCTGCTTTTTTGTAACTCTGACCCTCTGACAAATGTGTCAGAAATAGAGTTTGGCACTCAATATTACAACTCCCTATGCTCCTGTCATCCTGGTACAGAAAATGAAAGAGACATGTTTACGGCGAGCACACAATACGTATGATCGTTTAGGACAGTACTTTTTAAATTGTGTCAAGTCAACAGAGGAGCATGAAGGTTCTTGCTTACGCCTTTTAATGCATTGTGTGCTCCTGGTACAAATGCTTGTTGTACCGAGTAATAGAAGAATGGTAAGGTTTAAAATGCATTGCAAACAAAATAATCAGGACTAAAGAGGGACATGAAACACAAGAGGTTGCATTTATTTATCGTCATTTCTGCCAGGGTTGCTGAAACGGAAAAAGATTCAAAATGACATACATAGTCTCAAGTATTATGGTTTCCCGATAATTATTTCTCTTTTAAAACTTACTGTATGAGGACTAAAGAAGAGCATAAAAGTAAAAAATCTGTCATATGCTTTTTCATGAATCATGCGACCCTGATGCGAATTACGGACGAGTAGCATTTTTGTTTCTTAAGATTGATGTCAGGGAGGTAATAAAGACGTATAAAGATATCAAATTACATGCATACATTGTTTCCTGATACAAATTTTTGTTTTAGTGACAGGCGAGTAGGGCGCTTTAAAATTATTGCACTAAATCTTGACAAATATTTCTTTAACCTCTATATATTATGAAATCCTGATACAGATTCTTTATCCTAAAACTACCCAATACAAATTTTGCTCTATAAACTTACTGCATTAGGGCTACATGGAGCTAAACAATTTTATACGATCCTGATACAAATGTTTTTTCTGACATACTGTTCCATCAGGGCGACAAAGGAATAGCAGAGCTCTTCAAAGTATCCTCATTGCATACAATTTCTGAAGTCATATAGTCTCCTGATACCCAAGTGTCTTTGTATACAGGTGACACGCAAGTAGAAAAGGGCACTACACTTTCACACTTCCTGATACAAATTCCTCTCCGAAGCCTACAGAGGAGCATGAGGGTGTAAAATTTCTAGAATT